TAAGACATCTCAACATTCACATAGACCAACTTCGTACAGTACGTTGGTTTCAATCTAGTAACGAAAGACCAATCAAATTTGCTTCACTTCAATGGTAGATTATGCATAGATGTCTGCCTACGAATGACTGGCTGATAGATCACTCAACGCTAGAACAGAGAGGATTAGCATTACTGTGGTGCCGTTCTTGCCACATGGCATTTCCCTCACGTAAATATCATGAAACCATTGAACACATCGTCACTCAGTGCCCAGGGACCATTCTTATGTGGCATCGTTGGGACTGTATTTGGCGTAGACTAACTGGTCTCGAGTGACTTTGGGAGTGGAAAACCCTTTTACTGGGCCATTGGAATCTGGTTGATCTGTCTCTTTCAACCTTTCAGTCAAATTTGTTTCGTATTGGTAGGAAAGCTATCATATGGGCCATATGGCAAAGGAGGTGTGTACATGTAATAAAGGATGTACACATGGAAGGGATGAAATTTTTACAGAAAGTCAAACAATTCGTGGAAACATAAATTCGAGCCCAATGGACTAATCTTAAACCACAGGTCCCCCCGCCACCGAAAACCCCTAGTCCCTGTGAGTTAGGGCCGGGTTGTACAGAGGGGCGGCGACCGTACGGAGGCGCTGGGTTGTACGGAGGCCGACGGGTCCAATCCCGCCATTTTGCAAGCGGCAACTTTGCCGATTTTTTGTGCTCAAAAGAAGTCATGAAAATATCTGAAAATTTGAGGGTCCGTAGATTAGGTCGTGATCTTTCAGGGAAAAATATCAGAAAAAAAAAAATCATTTTGACGGTGAAATATTCGTTGTGCCTATTTGGTTTATTTCCATTTTTTGTCGCAAATTTCGTACGGAGGCCCGCCCGGTTTTCCGCGCTGTACGACCGGTACCCGTCGTGAAACGGCGCTACCGGTGCCCCGAGGTTTTTTACGTTAGGGGGACCTTTGGTTTAAAGGCAAATTAAAATCTCTAACTCAAAAGAAAGGCATCAGACAATCTATTCTCAAATTCACAATGGACTGGCTAAGGGGATCACAAGAACAGGGTATGAGGCAGGTGGTATGGCCTAATGAGCATGAGTCGATGATGCCTCTCAATAAGAGTTACTTTTTGTAGTTTAATGACTGGTTTAATATTCAGCCAAGGGAGTCCTTCAGAGATGCTGCATGCTTTTTGAACCATTCTCCCCTTCGGATTTAGCCTTGGTAGAGCTTTAATGGTTGGGGGGCGGGGGGTGATGAACAATGAGGAATGAATCCTCATTATCAAGAGGGATAGAACTGCAAGAGATGCACGTCCTATATGGCGGTCTGTTATGAAGAGGTGGTTTGATCCTATTGGTTTTCATTAAAATTGTAATGTTTGACAGTTTGAATCTCTTGGGGGGGCAAAAAAAAAAAGTATGTCAAGAGAAATAGATGCAAAAGGCCGAGAGTCGAAGTAAGTGCAGCACTGCGACAGCAGTACCGAGTAGGGAGTGAATCCTGCGAATCGACTTGAGCATGGACCGAGCGACCACTTTACCATAAAGCCCCTTGAAGATCCAATCAATGGCGCACAAGAGAGAGAGAGAGAGAGAGAGAGAGAGAGAGAGAGAGAGAGAGAGAGAGAGAGAGAGAGAGAGAGAGAGAGAGAGAGAGAGAATAAGCAGGAAAGGTGACAAAGACTCAAATAACGCAAAAAAAACTTTCGTATGAAAAATAGCATGATGACTTTTGATCTCATCGCCCGTATGAGATCATCCTCATGAGGTTTGTAGGAGCACTGACATAATTTCTAACTTCTAACGTACTCGAATACTCATCATACTTTTATGGAAAGCTATGTATAACGAACGCTGGACTCGTTTTCCAGCAGGTGCAGCTCCCCACCAATAGAATGGAGCCAACAGGAGGCCTGCTAGGGGTGGGTGCTCGTATCACTACCCCTAGCAGGACCAACTGATGTTGAAAAAAACAACCTTCCACAATATAAGAAAGTGACCAATAGTGAGGTTTTCGTCACCGCTTTCCAAGACACGAGCAATAATGTTATCCGACAATAGTTTATCTTGTTCCCCCTCCACATTTTATATAAAGGGTTATGACCCCCTGATTCACCATTTATCCAAAGTTGGGTAACACGACGTACATGTATGCTTTTTTCATGTATAAGTGTACAAATATGCCCTTCTGTGACACGTACGCGCGTACACATACTCCTATACACAAGAGTACGATAAAACAAAAAAAAGGGTAACTTCAGTAGAGTCACAAAAATGAGTTATAATTGCACTATGGGGCCAGCTACAGTTTGCAATTGCACTTTTGACACCCTACCTGGCCAGAAAACTGGGTTGTATACATTGCCCAAACTGTCATTGCAAACCGTATCTTGGCCCATAGTGCAGTTATAACTCGTTTTTGTGACTCCCACGTAGGTTCCCCTTTTTTTTTATGTAGCATAACATACTTTTTTTTATGGGGTAACTACACGGGAGTCACAAAAAAAAATTATAATTGCACTATGGGACAAGATACAGTTTGCAATTGCACTTTGGGCACCCTACCTGGCCAGAAAGTTGGGTTGTATACATTGCCCGAACTGCAATTGCAAAGGATATCTTGGCCCATACTGCAATTATGACTTGTTTTTGTGACTCCCGTGTAGTTTTCCTTTTCTTATTTATAAACTACGCTATATTCTTCGCTCAAATCTTTCATCGTCTTTCAATTTGTTTTACTTCACCTTCACTACTTACCTACCACTACTCGTAAGGACTATACAAGGGACCCCTGCGAACATAACTTTGTTGTCTCCCTCCAGCCATCAGAGAGGATGCATGTTTTCCCCCGCCCCAACCATGGTAACCAAGGATGGCAGTGGTGGCAGCATAACATACTTTTTTCCATTTTTATTTTTTTTTTTGGGGGGGGGGGGGGGGGGGAAGGGGGGGAACTACACGGGAGTCACAAAAATGAGTTATAATTGCACTATGGGCCAAGATGCAGTTTTGAATTGCATTTTCGGGCAATGTATACAACCCAACTTTCTGACCAGGTAGGGTGCTCGAAGTGCAATTGCAAACTGTACCTTGTGCCATAATTATAACTCGTTTTTGTAACTCTTGTGAAGTTACAAAAAAAAACAACTTGAAACAAGTTTTGCCAGAGAGCCATCCCGATATTCTGAACAAACTCGAAGTTTTGTCTTTGTTAAAACGTACAGGCGAGTTAAAAAAAAAACGGGTAACTTCACAAGAATGAGTTACTATGGGGCAGGATACAGTTTGCAATTGCACTTCGGGCACCCTACCTGCCCAGAAAACAAGGTTGTATACATTGCCTGAACTGCAATTCGAAACTGTATCCTGACCCATATACAAGTATAACTCATTTATGTGACTCTCGCGTAGTTTTTCCCCCAAAAAAAACTAGAAAGCAAATAATTAAAAAATGGAAAAAAACCTAGGCTTTTTGGCTGGGTGCCCGGGCACCCAACTTGTGCCCAGGTACATGCCCAGAAACCCGGTTGGGCATGAACCCTGGGCAGGTTTTCAGGCAGCCCCAACGCCCGGAAAAAATGTACTTGTATAGAATTGCAATGCAAACGGCATTTGGTTGAGGGTCACATCATAATTCCTAACGGGATCAAAGATAGAAAAAAAAACTCTAGAATTAGACTAAGGCACTCCCCTTTAGACCCCTTTAGCCCCTTAGAAACCAATTTATTCCCCCGTTTCCCCCCTTTGACAGCCAATGCTCCAAAAAACAAAGGATCCCGGATTTGTGCTCCTCTGGTCATACACGAAAACCCCCCACCCAAATAAAGAAAAGAAAAGAAAAGAAAAGAAAAGGGCTGATTTTTGCCTGCACGGGGTGACCCGTAGTGGTGACCCCCCGACGACTTGCCAAGACGAGCCAAGTACCTAGCAAAAAACAGAGAAATACAAATAGTATGCTCACTATGCAGCATGTTGGCCTTGGACACTGCTGTGATTCGGTTGGGGGTGGAGGGCGATGAAAAGGGAGGCGCAACTACTGCCAAAATGCCGAGTCTTTGAGTTAGCCAGACTCCCACCAATCCTGATTTCTCAAACTGACAGGTCACAATGGCGCCGGTCGCCCGGGTGCCAGGGCGTCGTCACGCTGCCGCGCTGCCACGCACACGCACACGTGCACTGGTGTTTGTCGCATGCACTGCCGCGAGCGTGAGCTCGTGCGCTAGTGTAGACCACGTGCGCTGCCATGCTAGCACGGCGAGCGGGCGCTATCAAGCGGGCGACGATGCTGGAAGCTGCCATAAGTATGTGCGTGTGTACGGATGCTGGCATGTCAGCACGAAGGTCACGGGTTCTTGGTTGACAGTGGAGGGGGAGACAAGTGTCTTCTTCATCCTGTTTTGTGCGAATCTCCTGGCGCCGCAGGCCTGCGCGGGTAGAGAAGGGGGGTTGGTGTTGTTGTAATAGTGGCACGAATCTTCAAGTGAAGGCAGCTTCAGAGTGTTGCTGCTGCGCTTCATGAAGTGGGATGTTCTCCTCGACTTCGTTGGCTTTGGTTGGTTTTCAGTTTCACCATCATCGGCGTCATCATCATTAGGGTGTTGCTCGTCACCATCATCATCAACAGGGCATGGTTTGACATCATCATCACATTAATGGTTTGTCATTATCATCAGGGCGTTGCTCGTCATCACCATCATCAGCATCAGACTACTGCTCGCCATTATCATCAAGGCGTACGTCTTCATGCCTGTTCGGCGCTAATATCATCATTATTATCAAGGAGCCATGCATCAGGGGTGCTGCTCGTCACTCATCGTTGTATCACCATCGTCAATATCTCTCCATCATAAGGCACGGTTGGCAAAGCTTGACGTCATCATAGGGCATTGCTCATCCATATCATCATCATCATCATCATCATCATCATCATCATCATCATCATCATCATTTTTAGGTTATCATCCAAGGTGCTCGTCATTACACCATCATCATCTTGTAGTCATAGGACACTGTGCGTCATCAAAATCATCATCATCATCATCATCATCATCATCATCATCATCATCATCATCTTCATCATCATCGTCATCATCATCATCATCATCATCATCATCATCATCATCATCATCATTACCGGTATCACCATCATCATTATCATCATCATCATCATCATCATCATCATCATCAGTTTGTAATCGTAAGGGTTGTTGGTGCTGCTCTTTGGTATGATCAGCATCATCATTCCGTCTTCACACTCATCATTATTGTCATCATCATCAGTTTGTTATCATTAGATGTTGCTCTTCAAGGCATCGTTTGCCTTTCGCATCAGCAGGTGAGTGGGTCGTCACCATCATCCTCATTATCATTATCTTCAGGGTGCTCTGCAGGGGTTTCATTAGGAGGGGGGTGAGTCCATTGTCCTCAACAAAATCCTACAAAATCCAAGCGAATGACAATTTGGTGGGGAGAGCCCTGCTCCGCAGGGGTTTCATTAGGAGGGGGGTGAAACCCTGGAGGGGGCACGGGCAGATTGTGAGGAATACTCTATTCTAGGGTGGGGCATTAAATCCCAGCGGGGGCATACTAGGGTAAAGGGATAGACAGGGGAATGGAGGGAATGGAGGAAGGCAGGGAGAAGTTTTTTTTTATAATCTTCTCATTATAATCATCATCATCATCATTATCATCATCCATGTTATAGCATGCTTTCTGGTGCTCTGTAATCCTTGGCGGCATCCGGCTTCCTTCCTCGTTCGGGATATAGGATCTCAGAGATGGTCGAATCTGGGCTGATATCTACAGAGTTGCCTTGTTCTGTGCCCCTGGCTTGCCGATGCCAGAACGGCGCTGGCCGGAGCTGGGGCGTTGCCCTGTAATCTGCAATTGGCAGGAGTATGAGGCCTTGTAGAGAGATATGGGGATATGCTGAGGGAGGAAGGCAATCTAGTGGCGAACCGGGGGGGCTGCCTTGACAACCTCTGGGGTCAGGGATAGTCTAGGTGGCGAAAACAGGTCAGCTACGGTTGACATTGGTAAGGAGGGTATTGTCTCTGAGATGTAATGTCTTTGTACAGGGAGGGCTAGGAGGTGTTCTAGGATTAGGAGGTCAGAAGTGCTGATATAGCATAGTCTTCTACTTTTTTTACATACTAATCATCATCATCATCATCATCATCATCATCATCATCATTAGTATCATCATCTCAATCATGTTATATTAAGCTTTCTGGTGTTCTGAAATTTTTGGCMGCATCTASACTTCTTCCACATTCGGGATATAGGAATTCAGAGATGGTCGAACCTGGACTGCTGTCTACAGAGTTGCTCTGTTCTGTGCCCCTGGTTTGCCGATGCCAGAACGACGCTGGCCGGAGCTGGGGCGTTGCCCTATAACCTGCAAATGGTAGGAGTGTGAGGCATTGTAGAGAGATCTGGGGGTTGCTGAGGGAGGAAGGGAGCGAGAAGAGAACAGCCATGGTAGACGTCAGTTAGGTTAGTACTGTCTCTGAGTTGCAATGTCCTGGTACAGGGAGGGCTAGGAGTTGTTCTAGGATTAGGAGGTCAAAAGTGATGATACAGCATAGTCTCCTTCTTATCATCATCAGTAGTATCATTATCATCATCATGATCATTATCATCACCATATGAGGGACGCTGAGCCCGGTTCTCAGCAAGTTCGGTTCGGTTACTCCGGGCAGACTGTGAGGACCCCGGCCTCAATCTTCTTATGGGTAAAAAAAAAAAAAAAAAAAAAAAAGCCCCAATCCATCCTTGACCACCATGGTTGGGGTGGGGGCAACATACATCCCCTCTGATGGCTGGAGGGAGACAGCAAAGCTATGTTTGCAGGGGTCCCCTGTATAAGTAAGCCTTCGGAGTAGTGGTAGGTAGGTAGGTAGTGAAGGTGAATTGAAAGAATTTGAAAGATGATGAAAGATTTGCGAGAAAAATATAGCGGTCTTAAAAGAATGTTGGCTTTAGACACTACTGTTACTCGATGGGGGTAGGGGAAGATGAAAAGGGAGACACGGTTACTGGCCAAATGCTCAGTCCTGGTGTTCGCCGGGCCCCCACCGACGGCCCCAACCCTGCACCCTAGACACTAGGGCAAAAAGGGGCAAACATGCCGTTCCCCCTCTCAACCGAGAGAGGTAACCTCCCTTCACGGAAGAGAGGTAGAAAGCTATGCTTGCAGGGGTCTCGTGTATACCCTTAGGAGTAGTGGTAGGTAGGCAATGAAAGAAATATATGTTCCATGACATGTCAGAACACCAGTTAAAAATATATGAGGTGAGAGAAAAATATATGGCTGTCCCCCATGTTGGCCCAACCTTGGTGCTTGTCACTGCTGTCTGGTTCAAGTTGCCCTCCATACTGGTAGGGTGATGGTCCTGTGTACTGGTCACACTGAGGTGGGATAGTAGGGCAGGGGGTGCGCTGGGAGTAATAACGTGGGGATGGGTAGGGTAGGTGGCCTATTCTAGTGGAGTGGAAAAGAATTGAAAAAAAAAGGGCCATGTCCTGTTTACCTGACAAGTCTATGTACATGTCATGCTTTCCTACCCAAACTTGCAACCATGAACTTGAGGAACTTTGTTGGTCTCCCGGAACATGGACCATGAACCCCGCAAAAAAAATCCGTGATTCTCCCAGATTGTGAACCTGGTCCATTTTGCAAGCCATGAACGTAACGAACCTGGTCTGCTTCTCTCCGACAATGAACGTTGTCTGTTTACCAGACCATGAACCTGGTCTTTGGCCTACACCACAAACCTTGTCCGGTTGTCAAACCTTGAACCTGGTCTGTTTCCCACACCAGGTTCAAGTCCCCTTTAGGTGCTTTTCAGCCGTCCAGTGGTCGAGTGGAGATCGTACCCTACACAAGCTGAGGGCATCTGCCTGGTCCAGTTGATGTAGCTCTGTGGTTAGAGCACCGGTTGGAAATGCGCATTGTGGTACAAGGTTGCGGGTTCAAAACCCTGCAGCCTTGCACATGGACACCGACAGGGCGTTAGATTGACGCACAGCTTGACACACATCCGCTTGGGCTGACGCATGGTACTATTACAGACACTGCCTGCGCACCACCCAAGGGTAACGGCGTTGTATGTTGGTTGTGGGTTTCACAGGGTTTGCTTGGGGTGGTGGTCCCGCCGGGTGTTCTGATGTTCTCCCCACCCAGTCTGGCATATCACATAATCATTCCATTTCCAGTAGTTGCTTATACGGTAGAGTCTTGGATTACATGTTACAAGGTCACGGGTTCCAGCTCGGTTCGGTCCTTGGGGGGGGTCCTTGTCCAGCTGGCCCCGTTCTCTCCTCGATACATGATTCACAGAGTACATATAGCTTTCGGGCATACACACATAGGTTGCGAAGTATATATATATATATATATATATATATATATATATCGCTTACAGGTTACATACACAAGTTTCCACACATGATACTGTCTACACAGATTCACAGAATATATACACAAAAAACTGGCTGGGGAGTTAGTCACCGCTGGCGTCTAGTGCCTGCAGTAGGTTCAGGTAGGTTGGACAGTGTGTCATTGGGTGCAGTTCCTGCTGACATTCGGATAGAACTGTCTGGTGGCAATATGTATATGGGGCCTGTAGTTCATTGTCTGGGCCTGGCGTCCGAAGTTCCCGTTCGACAAGGTTCGTCCGATTCCGCTTCCACCTGGGTTGGGCAATCTATCAGCCCTCAGCTGGTGCCTATCGTCCGATTCCCCTTCCACCTGGGCTGGGCAATCTATCAGCCCTCAGCTGGTGCCTATCGTCCGATTCCCCTTCCACCTGGGCTGGGCAATCTATCAGCCCTCAGCTGGTGCCTATCACTGCTGTTCGGTCCAAGTTGCCTG